TTAAACATGCTTTTATCTGAAATCATTTGTATTTAAAGACGCAACCACCTACTGGCATTCATTCGCAATTTCAATAAACCTCCAATGTCTGATTCTTCTTGAGGTTGTTATAGAAAGCTGCTTTAGCAGCGACTAATGTCCCTGTTTTTCCTATTTAGGTGCCCTGTGATGGTTTCACTGATATTGAGACTCTTGATTGCCCCAGCCATTTCTTTGAAGATGAGCTGATGTCCATTCTTAATACAGGAGGCAGGTGAGGCTGAGTCTAAAACTCTAGGAAAGAATATTTGGCAGTTTCTTCAGGGTGCATAGCATACACATCGACCTTACGTTTTATTTTTAAATTACACTTGTGTCCTACCCGTTCCCCAAGGAGTTCAAAACCAGCCTACCCATCTTGCTGACGAACCTTTGAGGTAGATTCAGCTGAAAAAGCATGGTACACCTTACAAGAATTAAGGATTCCTCTGTATACCGCTGAAAACTCTTCGTTCTCGTAACCTTTAACTGCGTGAAACGATGCATCCAGTTTTGAACTGAGGTACCTCAAATGGGTTGACGTCCAAAATGCTGGACTCTCGTTTGGCAAATTTTATGACACGCAAACGGTCATGAAGCAGTTTATGGCCCCATATAAAATGTCGTAAAAGAATTCCTGTGCTGATGTTTGATTGGGCTGCCCAGTTTAACAAGGGCTATTTACGAGGCAGATGCAGCAATATCTGAACGTCTCCTTGAATTTTTAAGAATTGTCCCAGTACGTTACAAGCTCTGCCATTGTTGAAGGCATTGAGGAATCTGGTAAGAATATACCTCTGAAAAGATAACTCAAGGGGTCACAAGCTGGATGGGATCTAACCACTTTCAAGTTATATATATATAGCCTGCAATGCTGCATTCTACATATCAGAAACATTTTCACAAATATATATGAAAAGTTTCTGCATATATATATTTATTTATCAGCACAAATACAACATATATATATATATGTTAGGAGGAGAACTTGTGGCTTAATGGCTAAGACGTTTGCCTAAGATGTAATATAGCACAGGTTCGAATCCCAGTAA